GAATATAACCTGTATGGTGCCTAGCAGAAACATGTTCTGTGGGTCATTTCCCACCAGGTATTGTGGACATTATCTTGGGAAAGGAAGAGGGGATAATGGGTGGTTGCATGCAGATGAATGGAAGAGGGAGACCTCACAGGGTCTTTCCTCAACTGTAAAGCTTGCCCTATTCTCCATAGAGGATCATGGAGCACATACCCAAACCCTGTAATCCTGGCAGTAGATAATGCCTGACAGGAACATCATTTGTAGCTGATAAATAGTCCTGCCAGGTCTTTCCTGATCCACTTTCTTGCCCACCACTTCCTGTTACCTCTTTTACAAAAGGTAAGCCTCTTTTGCTTCATAAAAATAGAGCACTGGCAGGGAAGTGGTGGAAGTTTGGTGTGAGCCCTATCTCAGTTTGGCTCCAGATCATAGTGGATTGGCCCCAACTTGAAATAAGAGCATCTGCTTTGCATGTAAAACATTCCTCCATAGCATGCAGATAGAGCAGGGTATATTGCAATGTTGTTTTTGTGAGCACAAGGATATATTTAAAAAACCAAAAAGAAATTGCATCATACAAAGTGAGCATGGCATGGCACAGAGATGTCCCCAGGTCCACTAACTCCACCTCATATGGAATGAGACTGGAACCCAGAAGCACACCTGCCCCAACTGGAGCCCAACTCGCTTGGATTTCTGCTCAGGTAGAACTCGGATCCATTTCTCTTTGTAGAAACAAACTGGGATAAACCCATATATGCCACCCTGTACTCCTTAGATGAAAAGGAACATGATAAATAACTTAACAATCCATTACGGCTGCAACCTATTTCATTCTGCTGTGGGTTCCTTTAATTAGTTAAGCTTCAGTTTTGCAGACAGTTTCATGAATCTGAATCTTGTTAATTGCAGTGTGCATTAAGTACTGGGCGGGGTGTAACTTTGTGCGGAATTGCAACCATGAATTCATCACAATGGAAACATAAAATAGAAAACAACCCTTAACACATTGCAAGTATGAGAAGACAGAACTCGTCCTGTCCACTAAAATATTGAGGCCGCTTTGACTTGGAACATGTCCCTTCTAATGCAGAGGCCATTCAGCTAAACCTTGACCAAAATCCATTTAATGCCTATTCAAGAAATCTGTTTTCCAGTTACAATTCAGGCCCCCATTGCTGATTTGAGGAACCAAACTAATTTCATGTGGTTCTCCCAACACCCCTCATGACATTTATGACATATTTTTCTGTTTAGAAGGAATGATCTTTTCCAGATGCCAGCTGATCTGAAACTACCTAATGAGATTTCCACAGATGTAGAGAGGTTTTTTAAAAAATGGTATTTTATATATTTTTTCCACAAAGGATGAGGCTCTCCAACACAAATATTTCTGTTCCAAAAAACATTACAAATATACTTGGATGAGTGCTGAATTAATGAACACTTGTTCGATGAGAAAAAGAGAGAGGCAGTGTTGTCAGTTCTTTTACTCTTTTTTGGTTTCATAATCTCAATGTGCAACTATACTTAGGCTAGAATATAGTCACTGAAGTCCATGGGACTTCTTTCCAAGCAAGCAAGCTTTATATTTGGGCTGTTAGTATACTTAAACACTGTTAGAAAGGCAGTTTTAAGAGATAAAATGAACATTGTTCATTTTATTCCATATATATCTCTACAATTCCATAGTTCTCTGCCCAATAAGACTATGATTTTGAGCTGTGGATTTCAAAACGACTTGCACTAATTATTATCAACAATATAATGTAAATTGTGATTTCTTAGTGGAAACAGAAAAGTCACACCACATGTAATGATTCTTTTCTTTCCCCTCTAAATGTGTATATGTGTGTTTGTGTAGGGGAAGGAAATAAATATATTTGGGTGGTGGTTTTGTGTGCGCGTTATTTTGGGATTGCAATAAACATTATGAATTTTTAACATCCAGGTGAGTGATTGATTCTTAATCCCTGTCCAATTCCTGCCTCTAGATATATCCATCACTGTCCTTACTGCTGGTCTACCTCAGTTTCCCAAAGATACAAACTCCCTCAGTTCAGGGCTCCAGCTCCTTTTCAGGGTGCAGAAATTTTGCATCAGCTACCGATATCCTTCTGATTATGCAGAGTAGCACATTCAATCAAATGGACTCTAACCCATGAAAGCTTAGACCATACAGTCTGTGCTCAGATATAATGACAAACCATGCTTTAGCATGTCAAGAACAAGTCAAGGTGAGCCTCAGCCTCTTGCACTTCCCTCTCCCCTCTCCTCTTCTGGCACAGCTGTTGCAAGGAGGTCAGAAGCTTAGCTTCTATTTATGTAGCCACAGTTTGGGTGACATAAAAACTCTAAACCAGGGCTATGAAACCTGTGGCCCTCCATATGTTTCTAGACTACAACTGCAATCACCCTTGACCCTTGATCATGTTGACTAGGGCTGATGGGAGTAGGAATCTAACAACATCCAGAGGGCTACAGGTTCCCTACCCTAAGCAATGGCTATGGTTTGTTTCATAACCCATTGTTTGAAGTTGGCTTGCTTTAAACAAACCATACTTGAGGTTTGTTGTATTTGGATGAAATGACAATGGGCGGTCAATCAAAAATGGAATTTGAAGCTTCTGAACTCCTCCTTACAGCAGCACTGCAGGATGAGGGGGGAGCATCTAAATGCAAACGGGGGCAGGCCTATTCCCATAATAGTAAACCATGGTTTACTGTGACATCCAAGAGAAAAGACAAACCTTTTTTTCTGTAGCAAACTGACCCAGGCTAGTCCTCTGGAAGTTGTTCACATTAAGTGTGTGGAGCTCCCATTTACCACCTGACAAGCAATTTTCTGTGCTTGATTAATTTTAATGTGCTGAATAATAGATGGGATGTTGCATAGGCTCCAGTTAACCCTTTAAGCGTACCCTATGTCAGGCTTTACATAACTATTAAGTTCAAATATCTTTGATTTTCCTCTGCATTCATATTCTGTTCCTTAGTAAGTTGACCTCTTCCCACACCCAGTTACACTTGGGGGGGGGGGGAATTGCAGTAGAGTCTGGAAATATTTAAACGATATCCTTCTCACTGTTGTCAGAGCAGAACACCCACAATTGAGCATGTGAGGCCAGGCCCGTTCCAGCTCTGAGATCAGCTTCACAGATGTCTGTCACCTGTTTCTAAGGAAATGTGCAAGTGTTTGGGAAAGTGCAGAGCCTCATTGTTGTTGTGGGAATCTGAAACCACTCTGAACTCTGCCCTGACGCTGCTTGTCAAAAATATTTAAAAAGAAATAGCAACATTCTTTCGTCAGTCATTAGCCAGGACCTACACTAAAGGCTCTGCCCTGTAAAATGCCAGAATGACTGGCAAGGATTTGAGTGGCAGGAGAGGCAGCTCAAATCCTAGAAGGCCTTTTCAAGGACCATGAGGACTTTGACAGCCAACCCTCTGCTTAGGACAACTGGTTTCCCCAAAGATACTTAACTTTGGGGATGGGAAGGTTATTTGTTTGCAGGGGTCATGACTTGAATACCGTAGTTCTCCATTTGTGAGAATACCTGCAGTCAATTCAGCAGAATTGTTCAAGTTCGGCCTGACTTGCATATGATTTCCTTTTCCTCTAGTATACTTTCAATAACTGCTCTTTTGCTGTGTTGATAAAAGTGAGGTTTGTGTTCTGTTTATATTTCACGATGCTCTTTATAGGGTGGAAAGGTGCAGCAGCAATCCTAGCGCAAACATACAAATGACAAAGCTGTTCCTGAGATGTACCACTTAAGGCTGTAGAGGGACGGGGTATGTAGGGTGGGTGGTGCAAATGTGGATGCTTCCCCCACTAGGAAGGCTATTGGGACATATAAAACAGTGTGTCAGGGAATGACCAAACGCTTCTGTGGCGTTCGTACGGAGCCCCCGGTCGTCTCACAGGCTATTGACCCATACACCACTAATCTGCTGCCACCAGCCAGGTCCTCCCTGGTAAAATCACTTCAGTCTCAGTCAGGTTCTCAATTAATAAAGAAGAGTGTATTTTATTTCAGACACAAACAAACTTTTACGGCATTCCAAACGTTGTTGCTGTTTACTTTCTTAGTCTTATTTTCCTCTCTCTATCTCTTCTACCTCCCCACACTCAAGAACCCACTGCCCTAACTGTCTCTCTGTTACCAACTGCCTTTCCCAACCAGCCAACCCACTCAAACCAACCAACTACCCACCAATAACTCCCAACGAACTCCTCCCAGAACTGGTTTTATAGTCCCACTGACTCCACCCCCTGGGTCCTGACTGTGCAACCTATTTAACTATTTCCCCTCCAGCACTCTCTCATATATGTTAACGTCACAGCTTCTTCCTGACATGCAAGTTTCTACACGTTGGGAGTTTTAAATCAGGTGACCATTCACACATGCAAGTCCTCATTCTGAAGTGTACAACCTAGGAAAAGCTTTTGCCAGATTACGACTCCATAAACTGATCCTTTCTGAAGTTCAGACTACAGGCAAATGCTATGTTAAACATGTTACAATGCTCATGCAATGGGCCATGACATGATTTACTACCATGTACATAAATATTTTGGAAAAGAAAATATATCACAGAAAACTGAATCTTTGACCTGGTCCGGTTTTTATGGATGAGTGCCAGGATTGTGTCAGAAATCCATTACTGAGTCAGTCTGTGAGGATTTATCCTTCCAAATGTGGCACGCTTTCATTATGTTCACTGTTATTTTCCCCCACCGTGCACACAGGGAACTGTGTTACTGCAAATAAAAAGGGTGGACTGTTTTTAATATTAATCATTTACACAGCACTTTTATGGCCAAATTCCAAACAGATTTATTCAGCAGTAAGTCTCACTCAGTTCCATGGGACTTCCTTTCTAGTCGGTATGCATATGAACCTAGGAAGCTGCCTTATACTGAGACAGACCATTGGTCCACCCAGCTGAGTATTGTCTACACTGATTGGCAGCAGCTCTCCAAGGTTTCACTCTTTACCAGCTCTACCTGGAGATGTCGTGGATTGAACCTGGGACATCTTGCATGCAAAGCAAATGCTCTGCCACTGATCTACTGTCTGCCCTTTGGATCACAGCCTTAGGCAACCCTACACATATTTACCAGGAGGGAAGTCCTCACTGAGGGAAAGCTTCTTTCCCATGGTTCCCTTCCCCCCATGGCCAATCTGGCAGAGTAAAATGGCCACTTTGGGCAGCAGTTGCTAGGGTAGCATAGAATGGTACTGAGGTGTTGGAGGGTAAATGTTGGGCTATGTACACAATATCTTCTTCTCCTTTGGCGATCACTCGTAGCCGAGTAAGATTGTCTTCCATAAACAAGGTTTTAACAATGAGTCCTTAAGTGACTGTGGAGGCCAATTCTGGATCCACACATCATTCCACAGTGGGGACATTGGTTTCCAGGCGGGAGTTGATCATGGTGTGGATTTGCCAAGCCTGCCTTTCTCTTAGCGTGTTCCTCCCTTGCGTCCTGAGTTTGAGTATCCTCAAAGCCCATGACACCTTTGGTAAAGGCTGTTCTCCAACTGGAGCCCTCGCAGGCCAGTGTTTCCCAGTTGTCAGTGTTTATACTACATTTTTTTAGATTTGCACAATATACATATAAAGCACATCCCAAGCACATTTCTGGGCCTTGTAGTTTGTTAAGGGTTACTGGGAATTGCAACTCTGGGAAGGGTAAATAACACTGCCTGGAATTCTTTGAGGGAAAGTGTCTTTAGTGTATACATAGCCTATGTGTTCAACTAGGCCTGCCTTGTATTACCTAAACTGGCTGGCTGCTGTCCTCTGGTACACTGGGCAATGCTATCCCATTACCAGGGCCAAAGGAAGATTTAACTGCCAGTGCAATTGGTTTCTAGCGGCAAGGAGTAGGGTGCTTCAGTCATGGAGCCAACGAGGCTCACATGTTTCCTCCTTCAGCAGTGTGATGGATAGAGAATAATCTGCTGGGCCCTCAGGACAGGATGTTTCTTGGGCTCTCTGCTTGAAGGCATCTCTCTCTCTCCCCCCCCCACTTCATAGTTCTGGAAGATGATGGATGTGTTAGCTGTGGTTGTGCAGAATTTCTGCCTTCTCCTGTGGCCCTTGCAGCTTCTTCTCCCGCTCCTTGTTCTTTATGTTGTAGAGTGGTGAAGTCACTGTGGAGAAGGCCAATCTCTATTGCCCAGTGAGGCATCCTGAGCAAGGGGCATCAGACAACGTAGGAGTAGGGGTTGGCAGAGGAGCAGAAGAAGCTGGTAGTCAGATATGCCTACATTAGACTTCATGAAAATAAATAATGCTAGCTTCTCGCAGTCCATTACCCACATAGATTTTTGGGCTTTAAAGGAGCCTTCTGGCGCAGAACCAGGAAAGGAGAAAACATGAGCAAGGAAGTTGGAAAGCAGCCTCTTTGGCGCAAAGCCAAGTTCACAGCTCTGGTAAAGATGACTAAGGTTCTACCATTGTGCTACAAGGGCAGCAAATTGGTGCTATGGGGAATTCTTTAATGCCCTGATTCCCCCTATAATGCTAGAATGTAGCATCATTTTAGTATCATAAATTCTATTAAGCAAGACTCTTGCTTAAAGTTGTGGGGGATTAGAGGCCAACTGAAGGCATTTCTTCAAAAAGAAGTTGTGTGAAGCTGGATTGGAAGGAACTTGGTCTCAGCAACTAACTGACTTGTTTATTTCCTGCAAAAGAATGGAGCAGAATGTTGATCTTGCTAGCGAGCTGTTGTATTCTTGGTCCTATGAACCAGTATAGCAAGGCTGCCCTGCACATTTTATACCTCACCAAGTCGAAAACAATTCTCCAGCCCTACACTGTGGTCTGCTAGGTTCTTGACAAACCTTTCTGAATCCCCAAGCAATCAACAATACTAGGAGATTATTATATTATTTCTCGGGTGGAATTCTGTAAGCGGCCAGTGAGCTTTGCTCAGCTTAGGAAGTAAGAGGTTAGGTGAAGGACTGTCAAGGTAGAAGGCTATAGATTTATTTAAGAGATGTACAGTATGTAGAAAGATCCAGACCAGAGAGGTCTAGATAAACAAGGCTTTGCAGAATTCTGAAAGGGTGGAGGTATCCAATGTGCAGCCTTCTAGATGTTGCCCATCAGTGTGGCTAATGGAGAGGGATGGTGGGAGTGGTAGTCCAGCAACATCTGGTGGATGCCATGTCAGCTACTCCTGTTTTAAAATGCTTCCTTATATTCATGGATGTGTTACATTCATGCACGCATACATGTTCTCAGAACCTGGATTAAGAAGAAAAACTTTAGTCTCTTTTCGCCAAAATGGAAAGGAAACTGAAGGCAATAAATAAGGGAAATCATTATGTACTAGTTTAAAGCGAGATTTTTTTCCATTCAGCAATTTTCAGAAGCATCTGGAAAAAATCTTATTATGGATGAGGCATGCCATGAGATCTACAACGAATATTTCTGCTGCACATATCCATCCACTCTCCATGCTCCATCAAGTGCTACACACATTTAGATGCTTATAAAGCATCAAGTAAATATAAAAGTTCCCATGATTTATATAAAAACAAAAATGATAACGTGCTTTAAGTGCTCACATTTCTTTTTGTTTATTCTTATTTTCTTGTGCATGTGAATATCTGTGGATTGTCTTTGCTTTGTTGCAGTCATCTCCTGAAAAAGCACTATGAGTTGAACTAAAAAAAGAAGTCTGTTTAGAAAATTTCACAGTCATGGGATAGGAAGATTGTTTCTCTTACGGATCACTGATTTCTTAAAGAACAGGAAGCGCTATGTAGACATGTCTCCATCATCGTTCTGCCCGGACACTGAGGTCCAGCTCCGAGGGCCTTCTGGCGGTTCCCTCACTGCGAGAGGCCAAGTTACAGGGAACCAGGCAGAGGGCCTTCTCGGTAGTGGCGCCCTTCCTGTGGAACGCCCTCCCACCAGATGTCAAAGAGAACAACAACTACCAGACTTTTAGAAGACATCTGAAGGCAGCCCTGTTTAGGGAAGCTTTTAATGTTTGATGTATCACAGTATTTTAATATTCTTTTGGAAGCCGCCCAGAGTGGCTGGGGAAACCCAGCCAGATGGGCAGGGTATAAATAATAAATTATTATTATATTATTATTATCATGGGCTGAAACAGTTCCGGCTTCTCGGCCCCAATCCCTTGCCTACGAGGTCCTTAGTGGGCTTGCTGACTGGATAAACCTGGCACCATATGGACATCATGTCATTTATGTTCCTGGTACTACACTTAAATGAGAACGTTTTGTGCAAATCTTTTGTAGGCAGCTGTGACAGCCCTTTGGGACTAAAAAGTAGGGCAGGAGAACTCTACACAACAAAATAAATGTAGGAGTAAATGGAAATGGACAGTTCTTAGAACGGAGCTTCCAGAAAAAGGCAACCAAAATGACCAAGGAATTGGAACACCAAAGCATTTGGAGCTTCTGCGTTTAGGAACAAAAATAATGTCAGAAAGGGTGTTCATGATAAAGGTTTATAAAATTATGCATATTGTGAAGAAAGTGGGCAGAACTAGTGTTGTTCATTTATTTGCAGATTTATAAATCACTTCACAGCTACCAAAGCAATGCACAACAAGATAAAAATAAGATAAATCATGGATTCAAAAACTAAGAGCTATAAAATCATTTCTACCATTCTAGAATTAATAGTCCAAAATATGACTTCGTGGAAAGCCTTCTTAAACGAAAGTGTCTTCAGTAGTTACATATTCTTTCTCCCCACCCCAAAACAACAGAATTCAAGGTCACCCAATGAAATTGACTGGCAGTAGATTCAAACACTCAAACTAAAGCACCTTATCAACATTGAGCTAATTTATGGTTTGTAGACCACTCCAGAGAATTCCTTTAGACATGATTGCTGGTTCCAGGTTCAGAAGTGTATACCTCTGAACGCTGCTTGCTGGGAAGTGGCAAGAGCAGTTGAAGGATATCGTCCTCCTCTCCTACCTGTAGGCTTACCAGCAGCATGAGATTGGCCACTGCAAGAAACTGGAGGCTGGACTAGAAAGATCTTTGGCTTGATGCAGCAGACTAGCTTAACAACTCCTATCACAAGGATCACATGGATAATTTATGTGAAGAGCCCTGAATTCTCTCAGAAAAAGAGGGAGAAATTGAGTCTGGGGAACAGAAAGTTTCCTTGAGTTCCTAGGGAAGGCAAATAGGATTACACCCAATGTAGAAGTGGATGATGATGATGATGATGATGATTACAATATACAAAGCTGATCAAAGATGTCTTAGCATAAGCTTGTATAATCCAGTATGTTCATATCTGCTTTTGAGGTATTATCATATCCATTTATGAGCTGCTATGTTGTAGGGCTTTGTGTGTCTATTAAAAGGCAAAGTGTTTCTGAGAGGGAAGGTGGATTGCAAGGGATCTTGCTAATGAAAATCGATAGCATAAAAATCATAATCAGCAGATGCAAATATTTATGCTGCTGAAATAATTAGGGGACTTGCCCAATCATCTCCATATTGCTAAGCTCCTCCAAAACCACCTTGATTGATTTCTAGCTGCCGCCACCCTGGAGGCTTGTCTCTAGAAGCAGGTCATTTATAGTTATGATAATTCATTTTGGTCCTGTAGGTTTACAACTTAGCAGTATATCTTGGTGACTTCTTGGGAGGTATAAAGTTTACAACAGATCCATGTTTTGATTCTAGCCAGGATTCAAGAAGACCCTAAGTAATTGTAGTCTAGTCCGTTCCAAGGTCTTATACCACTTTTCCCAGCATTACTGTGGCACCTTTTTTGCTTTAGATAAAACTGGATGCTAAGTTTATGCTTCCCCATCCTATCCCCTCCCACTTCCTACCTCCTTTGTTTCGAAGCCTCTTAAGTGTGAATGCTGGAATTTGGTGGGTTATTGTAGACACCCCAAGCTATATCTCTCACGAGATTCACTGCTTCTGCTGTGCGCTCCGAGGCTGGGGCAAACAAGGAGTCAGGAGAGGACAGGTGGACTCCAAGGTTACTTGGAAACTGTATGCTAGTAGTTTAGAAAAGCCCAGAATAAGAGCCTAAGATCTGTGGTTTTCTTAGCAGGCATGGACATTGCTCAGTGGCAGAGTGTCTGCCTTTCATGCATAAGGTCCCAGGTTCAATCCCTGGAATGGAACAGCTTCATTCCGTGCTGACAGGGAAATCTCAAGCCTGTTATCTCCGAGCCCCCCCCCCCCATGCACAGGGACATAACATGAAGCTTTGCCCCTCTCATAAGTCTCTTAGACCCACAGACATATTGAAGCAGACATCATATTTCCCACACTGTTGGAAAAACAGATCATTTGGTGTCTGGATGCCTGTGCCTAAGGCATGGGGGAAAGGGGTTATAGAAGAGAAATGCAATAGCAGCACCTCTTTTAATCCCAAGGCTACAGCTCTTGTTCGACCTCCAAGGCTATATAACAACCCATTTATTGCTTTCATTTTGGGTTTAACGCAGGGGGAGGAAAAACAACGCTTACCTGGCAGTGCATGTACACAAAGTCCTCAGCCATTCTTGTGCCATGCTCCTTCTTTACAAAAAGCCCATCTAAATACCAGAGTCATAGACGGAGAATGGAACGTAGCATGACATTCAGGAAGACACACGTTTTCCTTCTGCATGCCTTTTCCTTATACTCTGGGGGAAAGGAGGACCTTTTACTGTGGCCTCCATGCATCCCCCGTCTCTTCTCTGTTCCCTTTGCTTTTCAGAAGCCAGAGCAGTGAATTTTCCATTCTCTGGAGGACCCACCAAACGGAACGGGACAGACAAAGGCAGCGTTGCTATTAATCTTAAACTTTTATCTCCTATTAGTGTGTCAATAAGCAAACCTTTTCTTCTGCCACCCTTTGATATACTGGACGTGTGTCAGAGGAAAAACACGGGCCATCCATATCTTATCTTATATTAAGGAGAGTCGTTGAGAAACATACCTTCATTACTGCGACAGTCATGTCAAAAAGAATCGACTTATTGTCAGCGCATCTAACCTAACAATGTTAATGGACCCTTCAGGCATCTCCTCCTCCTCATTTGTTTCTTACATGCCTATCAAAGAGACAATGCAAGGTAGTTACCAAGCTCTGGGGAGTGGTGTGTGTATGTGTTAAGAGAGTCCATGACAGCTCTTTGGGCTGCTCATAATGAAGTGAGATGAGTGTGTGGGAGGAGGGAAAGGAGAAGCATTTTGACAGTACCAAAGATCCAGAATGGTACTTCAGCCATCTTGGCAGCTCTCTTTACTCCAAGGTTCTTATTGGTCCAAGTGTTTCATCTGGAGTGACATCACCATCCTTTCTTCTAATGTTCCATTGCATAGCTGTGAAGGTAAACCATTTTTACAAATGCTCAGTTATAGACATCTTAAGTTATAGATTCCTTAAGAATGGACGTAACTATACAGTGGTCACCTGAAAATGGTCTTCCCACCTTTCTCCAATACAGTGGTACCTCAGGTTACAGACGCTTCAGGTTACAGACTCCAGTAACCCAGAAATAGTACCCCGGGTTAAGAACTTTGCTTCAGGATGAGAACAGAAATCGAGTGGTGGTGGCACGGCAGCAGCGGGAGGCCCCATTAGCTAAAGTGGTACCTCAGGTTAAGAACCGTTTCAGGTTAAGAACAGACCTCCAGAATGAATTAAGTTCTTAACCCGAGGTACCACTGTATTCACAAGTCTGGCTTTCCTAATTTTTCAAGTACATAATTAGCTGCCCCTGCCACACAATACTCGTCCTCACACACATAGCTTTTCATTTCACATCACAATGTTCCCTGTTATTTCCTTGCCAAAGTACACAAAATAATGTAACCCAGCCTCCAGTAAAAATAATTTGTAGAAATACCATAAGAAGAAAAACCAAAGGTACTGCTACCACTGCTGAATTGTCTGACACGCGTGAAACTGTAAAGTTTCAAGCACTTGCTCAGTGGTTTGGTGATGGCAGCAATATAAGGCCTAGCTATAGATTATGTGAGGATCTGTGATGTTATTGTAAATAATAATAATAATAATAATAATAATAATAATAATAATTTATTTATACCCTGCCCATCTGACTGGGTTTCCCCAGCCACTGTGGGCAGCTCCCAGCAGAATATTAAAAACACGATAAAACATCAAACATTAAAAAGTTCCCTAAACAGGGCTGCCTTCACATGTCTTCTAAAAGTCAGATAGTTGTTTATTTCCTTGACATCTGATGGGAGGGCATTCCACAGGGCGGGTGTCACTATCAAGAAGGCCCTCTGCCTGGTTCCCTGTAACCTCACTTCTCTCAGTGAGGGAACTGCCAGAAGGCCCTCGACGCCGGACCTCAGTGTGTGTAACATTTTTCTATCTCTGCTGCATTTCATTCTACTGCTTCCAGGGGGTGAGGGTCGCTGAATGCAATGACCTCACATTTTAGTAACTGTTACCTGGGAATCACACAAGGCAGATAAGGTTTAATAGCAGCTGTGCATTCTCCATGCATAACATCTAGCTACGCCTTAAAACTCTTTTCTGCCAGAGAAGGTGTCTTCTGGTTCCATTAGAGAGGTGTTCTTGACTATTCTTACACATTTTCAAATTCAGCTGCTCTAGCCATGCTGCATTAGTTTTTATGGAATGCACATTCTCATCCACACTGGAATGTGATTCTGACACACATCTCAATGTGTAGGCAAATCAGTGTGGTGTAGACTGAGGGCCAAAAAATCTGTAGAGCAGATTGTGCTTGCAGGAAGCACATGGGAATTTGGTGGGTGAGGTGGGGCCAGTGGCTGCTATTAGTATATAAGTAAGAAAACAATATGGAAGAGTTAAATGTAACAATCACATAAATATCAGAATAGCATAAATATTATCATTAACTTAATTTATTTTACTCTTCACTGTAAGGAAAAAGATTTCATATAACAGTTTCTCTTCAAAATTTGTTTACTAAGTCACAGGGGGAAATCATCCATTCATTCTACCATCACCCCATTTTTCCTCCTGTGTGTATGTTTTTATCAGCCATATCACAGCTCAAAAGAGAATCACATCATTGGCATCAACTTTATTTTTGTATTATCAAAACGATCATGAAAACATGAGGAGATAATTGAAGCCACATATATATGTGCCTGAGTGTAAGCCTTTGACAAACTTGTATGGCAGACTGAACAATGAACCCCAAGTTTGGTAAAAATAGCCAAGGGCACAGCAAAGTTTGTCATCTTGCAAAAATTCGTGACAACCAAGCCCTATTGGATTACTTTCAAAAGTTGTCCTTCAAAATCTTTCCCTCAGATTTGCTCACAATTTTATCCTGCTACAGGTTCTTTGCTTATCCACAACTTACAGTTTCTAAGATGGTTATTTTCTATATCATCCTGCCCCACCCTGGTACCCTCCAGATGTTTTAGACTACAGTTCCCAGTATTGGCTGCTGCTGATGGGACTTATAGTCCAAAATATCCAGAGGGCACAAGATTGGGGAATGATTAATTTATTAACACCTTTCTATGCAAGCCCATTAAGCCACATGACTGTTTATTATTTGGGAGTATTTTAAAAATAAAAAGTATTATTATCATAATCATCACATATACATTCTAGAAACAAAGATAACCCAAACCCATACTGAGGAAAAAGAACTTTCCCTGGAGACCCCTGAAAATACATTATGAAAACCTGTATTCCCGTACATACACCACTACTTAGAACAGTATACATCTGTAAAACACATTCTTATCAAGTGATCCACAAGCTAGTATGAACCCTTCAAACTGGTCTTTCGTTTTCTGGAGTATTTGTGAGTGAAACAAAGCTCACCATCCTCCAGTAAAGTGCTTTGGTAAAATTTATGCCGCATCTACTAACCCAAGTTCTCAACGTAGTTTACAATATATTTAAAACACAACAAAATAGACAGTGATAGTTTCTTATGGATATGACATTCATTAGAGCAGGTTCTTCAAGCCATTGGGTTCACTCAGATTTTCAAGCTACTGATTATGTTTAATGTAATTCTTTAATGTAGGGATGGGGAGCCTCAGGCCTGGGAGCTCTTATCATGTGTGAATTGAGGGTTATTTAATCACTTGTTGCTTTGAAATTCACATCCATCAGCATGGGCCTTTTCATTCCCTGATTTCTATTCAAATGCTTTTTAGAGAACAAATGAAATGAAGTCATAATAATAAAAATAATGCTATACATGTGCATGGCGGAGAAAGGGTATTCTGAATATGGATTTTGTGTCAAGGTATGAGAGAGAGAGAAGGAGAGATCACCTTAGTGACCCAGGTTTAACTATAAAGCATATTTTTCAAATGAGCAAACTTCTTAAATAACGTGGAAGGGGCCCTTTTTACCCTTAATGTGCGGAAAATGATACAAGTTACTTTGCAAAGGAAAAAGTGTGCTAATGTGCCAACAGCAATTGAATTCCACTGGCCTTCTATTCATTAAACTTCCATTGCTCTGCACATAATTCATCTCAGCTCAGTTATGCTCCTCAAGGGTCTGCTACTAAAATAAAGAAGTAATCACTTCTATGTCGCCAAATAAGGTGCACTTGGCTCCAGACATCCACTTACAACTATTGACAAAGAAAAGCAGACACACGGTGCCAAAAAAGCAAATGAGGATTCTCTTCTCACCCCCCATCCAAACTGGCTATTGGAAGGCAGATCCAATGTGCTGTACTTCAAAGGTTCCATTTTCTTAAGTCTTTCATGCTTACAACTCACAGGAACCTCAATATTTACTAAAATTCCCAGGGAGTGTTTTGCAAATTTAATAGGTTCTGACTGCTTAGGCTAAGTTGTGCTCTTGTAGTGCAGTGGAAGACCACATATAGTTTGCAAGAGAAATGTTCCAGGTATGCATGGGGAATGCTCCTCTCTGAAACCCATGGGAACCATTGCCAATCAGTGTAGAGAATATTATCCTAGATGGGCCAGTGGTTTGAATCCCCATAAGGCTGTTTTCTTATGCCCTTAACATTGGAAGCAAGCATGGACTTAGCATAGCAAAATTTCATTTTCTTCCCTGTCATGTATATTGTCTTAAAGGTACCCCTGACCATTAGGTCCAGTTGTGGCCGACTCTGGGGTTGCGGCATTCATCTCGCTTTATTGGCTGAGGGAGCCGGCGTACAGCTTCTGGGTCATGTGGCCAGCATGCCTAAGCCACTTCTGGCGAACCAGAGCAGCGCACGGAAACGCCATTTACCTTCCCGCCAGAGCAGTACCTATTTATCTACTTGCACTTTGACGTGCTTTCGAACTGCTAGGTTGGCAGGAGCAGGGACCGAGCAACGGGAGCTCACCCCATGGCGGGGATTCGAACCACCAACCTTCTGATCAGCAAGTCCTAGGCTCTGTGGCTTAACCCACAGCGCCACCTGCATCCCATGTATATTGTCTTACTCAACTCTAAATATGCAAAGGTGGAGGGGAAAGACAGCACTTTCTTACCAAAAGGAAAAAGAGCAAGTGATATCGTGATCATTTGAATTGATAGGCAAGAGGTGATACAGCATGGCATTCCATCTTCTTCTTACAGCAGGGATGAGGAGCTTCAGGCAGGGCCTCCATAAAGTCCCCCTCCCCCCCGGTCTTTCTAGACCACATCCACCATGCAGGCTACACTCTTTCCCCAGGCCACATCCCCCTCTGGCTCTGCTTTCCACCCTTCTTGAGCGTTTTGTCTGTCTGACATTAGTTCTTGAATCGTGACAAAACGCCTCGCTTGACAGGATGGAGAATAGAGAGGGGTTTGGCTCCGGGCAAGTGGCCCTTGGGCTGAAAGGCAATGTGGCCCTCAGGCTGAAAAAAAGTTATTATTTCATCATGATGATGATGATATAGTCGTACCTTGGAAGTCAAACGGAACCTATTCTGGAAGTCCGTTTGACTTCCAAAACGTTTGAAGACCAAAGTGTGCACAAGCCCCGTCGGAAGCTGCAGAAGTCCTGTCAGACGTTCGACTTCCAAAAATAGTTCACAAACCAGAACTCTCACTTTCAAGTTTGTGGCGTTCAGAAGCCAAAATGTTCGAGAACTAAGCTGTTCGAAAACCAAGGTACAACTATAATCAAAATTATTTCGTGCTCAGCACGAAAGCACCTGGTTCTATTTACCTGTGATTTGGCAGGATTTATCTGTTCTAGAGGGCTTATCACACATTGAAATTTCATCCACTTCTTCCAAAAAGAAAAGATTTTTGAGATTTGTTCTTAAAAATATAAAGCGGTATAGAAATGAAATGAATAAT